TTAATTTAAAAAAATGTACTTTGGCCGGGGGGAGTTCTGTGGGGGGGAGTGCAGAGCAGGTAGGGCACTTGCCATGTGCATGGCCGAACTTGTTCAATTCCAACATCATATATGGTCTCCTGAGCCCCACCAAGAGTGATCCCTGAGCACAACTAGGTGTAGCCCTAAAACAAATCAAAAAATGTATTTTTTGTGTACATCTCATATAGAATCCTTGGCACCACATATGGTCCCACAAACACCATATATATCCTCCTGAGCACAGAGCCAGGAGTAAGCCCTGAGCATAGTTGGGTGTAGCCCCAAACAAAACAGAACAATAATTTAAAAATAAATAAATAACTTACATTGTTAATTGAAAACTTAATCTTTTATTGGGGGGGCGGTGGTAGGGAACTCTCGACCATATTCAGGGGTCTCAGGGGCTACTCCAACAATATTCAGTCCAGCTATGTGGACTTAAGTCTCAGTACTTGGTTCCAGCAGTTCTGAGGGCCACTAGAGCAATACCCAGTGGGTGTTTGAAAGGCCCCTGAAGTATCAGGAATTGACCTTGGGGTCTTGTGCATGCCAGACATGTGGCCCGATCCTTTGAGCCATCTCCCCAGCCCACTAGGATCTTTTCTTTCAAGGAAGCCCCTAGACTCAACCCACAACACTGGCTCTGTGGGGCTGCAGCAAGCGAAGGCTGCAGAGCTAAAGTTCGGTCAGGCCTCTGCTGTCAGCTGCTCCATGATGGATGACAAGAGCCCAGCCAGGTGGTCAGCTGACTGGAGGTGACACATGACTCTGACGACCACTTAGTGGGTGACCTGAAGCCAGACTGAGAACATGTGTGGGCCTGACATGCTGCTCCTGAGGGAAGAATGCATGCTGTGCCAGCCAGGCCTTGCGGGGCCAGTCTGCTTCCCCATGGTGAGCAGCTGCTCACCACCCCATGCAGCAAGGTGTATTGCTCTCAGTCTGTTTTGTTGTCGTCAGGTTTTATTTTGGGTCACACCTGGGAGTGCTCAGGGCTTAGTCCTGGCTCTGCGCTCAGAGATCACTCCTGATGAGTCTTGGGGGACCCTATTGGGTGCTGTGAATTGAACCCGGGTTGACTGCATGTGAAGCAAGCGTGGTACCTGCATACTTTCTCTGGCCCCAGCTTCAGGTTTTTGTCATTCCACCTTCCTGTAGGTCCAGGATCAACTCACCTGCTTAGGAATGACGGTGGCTGTGTGGAAAATACCCACCATGTTCCCAGTTCCTGCTACAGATCCAGAGCTTACAATCACGGGGGGCTGGGAAAATTCTTTCGCCCAGTACTCAGCTAACTCTGCAGTGCTTCAGAACAGTGGTTTTCAGCCACGGATCTGTGGACCAGTACTGGTCAGCACACCTTGCCTGCTGGCTCATAGAAAAGCTGTTGGAGCTGGAGCGATAACAGGCAAGCAGGTAGGCACTTACTTGCCCTGCACAAAACCAAGCCAGGTTCATCACATATGGTCCCACAAGCACTGCCAGGAGTAATTCCTGGATGCAGAGCCAGGAGTTACCCTTGAGCATTACCGGGTGTGCCCTTCCCCAAGAGGGGGGGAAAAACCCCATTGGTGCTTAACATGCTGGTTTTCAATAGTCATCTATCTGTAGGCTGGTGCTGCTCTAGAGAAACAAAAAATGGATAACCACTGGTCTAAAGAGTGATGGTTTTGTTGGGTTTTTTTTGGAGGGGGGGTGTCGGTGCACTCCATTGTGCTCAGGGCTTATCCTAGCTCTGTGCTCGGGAATTATTCCTGGCAGTTCTCAGGGGACCATATGGAGTGCCAGGGATTGAATCCCGTTTGGCCACATGCAAGGCAAGTGCTCTACCTGCCGTACTATTGCTCCTTACCCCCATCTCAGCCTGAGATCAGGACTTGGAAAAGACTTTTTTTTTTTTAATTGAATCACTGTGAGATAGTTACAAGCTTTCAAGTTTGGGTTACAATCACAGAATGATCAAACCCCATTGGTGCTTAACACGCTGGTTTAAGCATGTTAAACTTAAACACCCATCCCTCCACCAGTGCACATTCCCCACCACCAATATCCCTGGTATACCACCCCCCCTTTCCCACCTTCTCCCTGCCTCCATGGCAAATAATATTCCCCATACTCTCTCTCTACTTTTGGGCATTATGGTTTGCAATACAGACACTGAGGTGTTACAATGTTTGGTCCTTTATCTACTTTCTGCACACATCTCCCATCCCAACCAGTTCCTCAATCCATCTTTTTCTTTTTTTTGGGTCACACTCGGTGATGCACAGGGGTTACTCCTGGCTCTGCACTCAGGAATTACTCCTGGCGGTGCTCAGGGGACCATATGGGATACTGGGAATCGAACCCGGGCAGCCGCATGCAGAGCAAACACCCTACCCACTGTACTATCTCTCCAGTCCAAGCCATCTTTTTCTTAGTGATCCCTTCTCTATTCTAGCTGCCTTCTCCCCTTTGGTGTTGAGGCAGGCTTTGGAAAGGACTTTGAGATCTCACCACCTCTTTCCAGAACTTCTTAAGTCAGTTGGCATCTTTCCAGGTCAGCCTTGATGCTGGGTGCTGTGACTGCATAGACATCAGAGGGGACTCACCTGCTGTCTAGTTGCCCAGGAAACACAGGTCGCTCTCCCCTGTGCATGTATGTGGTCCTCCTGGGCTCTCCCTGCATCGGTGTCCTGACCTTTGCTTGCATACTGGGCTTGCTCCCCCATTTTGGTAGAACCTGCACCCTTCAAAGGTACAGGTTCATGTTGTTTATTTGTCCTGTTTGATTTCTTTTTACAGCATTGCTCTTTGAACCCTTGCAGTATTTGAGGTCAAACCTGGGGCACCCACATGCAAAGCTTGTGATTCCGCCCTTCCAGTCTTCTCCCAGTCCCTTTTCCCTTCTTATAAAAGATACTTGGTGCTATCAAGGTCTGGACCTTTTTAGATCTTTCTGGTATAAACTTAGGTGCTCCTCAGATTTCGTGCCCCTAAACTGTAGCTCCCCACTCAGATCTACACCCCCTAGTCTCAAGTTTATTTGAGATAGTGCCACATCGTATTACTTCCAATTTTCAGAATTTTTTTTTTTTGCCCCTCAGCTTTTTGTGGGCTTATTTTTTTTAAATTTATCTAAAAATAAAAAAATAAAAATAAAGTTATTGGGTTGGAACAATAGTATGGCACGTAGGGCACTTGCCTTCCTTGTGGCCAACTGGGATTCAATCCCTGCACTCCATATGGCCCCTCTGAGCACCTCCAGGAGTAATTCCTGAGCCTAGAGCCAGGATAAGCCCTAAGCATAATGAAGTGTAGCCCCCAAAAATGAAAAAAAAATCCAACAAGAAAAATTGTTCAGTTTTGTTTTAGTGGGCCTCAGGGAGGGAGCCAAAGTAAAGGTGAAGGTCCAGTTTGTCATCTTTCCTTGTCTGTTTAGTGCCCTCTGGTAATGGAACATTCGTCAGAGCTAGAGCTTAGACAAAAAGGACTGAGCTAGTGGCTGGCTGGAGAATTGACATTAATTAGCCTCTGGCCTTAGTCTCCCCCAGCTGTGTCCTCAGTGAAGCCAGAAGGCATTTCCTGCCTGCCCAAGGTCTGCTTCAGAACAATGAGGGAGCTGCTGAGTAACTGTCAGGGTCTGCAGCGCCTGGTTAGAACCACACAGCACATACAATGGAACCCAGCCCTGCATTTCACCTAGTCTTGCTTTCTGGGTTTTGGTTTTGGGGTGTGTGTGTGTGTGTGTGTGTGTGTGTACACACATAGCCCTGCATTTCGCCTAATCTTGCTTTCTGGGTTTTGGTTTTGGTTTTTGTTGGTGTGTGTGTGTCTGTGTGTCTGTGTGTCTGTGTGTCTGTGTGTCTGTGTACACACACAGCCCTGCATTTCGCCTAGTCTTGCTTTCTGGGTTTTGGTTTTGGTTTTGGTTGCGGTGTGTGTGTGTGTGTGTGTGTGTGTGTGTGTGTTTCTAGAGATCCAACCCAGGTATGTGTGTGTGTGTATGTGTGTGTTTCCAGAGATCCAACCCAGGTGTGTGTGTGTGTGTGTGTGTGTGTGTGTGTGTGTGTGTGTGTGTACACAGCCTTGCATTTCGCCTAGTCTTGCTTTCTGGGTTTTGGTTTTGGTTTTTGTTGTTGTTGTGTGTGTGTGTGTGTGTGTGTGTGTTTCCAGAGATCCAACCCAGGGGTGTGTGTGTGTGTGTGTGTGTGTGTGTGTGTGTGTGTGTGTTTCCAGAGATCCAACCCAGGTATGTGTGTGTGTGTATGTGTATGTTTCCAGAGATCCAACCCAGGGGTGTGTGTGTGTGTGTGTGTGTGTGTGTGTGTGTGTGTGTGTTTCCAGAGATCCAACCCAGGTGTGTGTGTGTGTGTGTTTCCAGAGATCCAACCCAGGTGTGTATGTGTGTGTGTGTGTGTACAGACACAGCCCTGCATTTCGCCTAGTCTTGCTTTCTGGGTTTTGGTTTTGGTTTTGGTGTGTGTGTGTGTGTGTGTGTGTGTGTGTGTGTTTCCAGAGATCCAACCCAGGTGTGTGTGTGTGTGTGTGTGTGTGTGTGTGTGTGTGTACACAGCCCTGCATTTCGCCTAGTCTTGCTTTCTGGGTTTTGGTTTTGGTGTGTGTGTGTGTGTGTGTGTGTGTGTGTGTGTGTGTGTGTTTCCAGAGATCCAACCCAGGTGTGTGTGTTTCAGAGATCCAACCCAGGTGTGTGTGTGTGTGTGTGTGTGTTTCCAGAGATCCAACCCAGGGCCTCACATCTGAATGGCAAACAACACTCTACTCCTGATCACTAACCAGGGCCTCCAGCCTGGTCTCATTGAAAGGGAGGAAGGCTCAGTGCCTATTCTGCGAGACAGAGGCTGCCTCACCTCTTCTGCAGGAGCGAGACTATTTCTGTGGTTCCCCCAGACTATGATGGAGAGGAGGAAGCTCCCGCCAGCTGGGGGCTTCCTGCCCCGTGTGCTACCTGGGTTCTGAATGTGGTTCTCCCATTGCAGATTTCTGCATGAATCCCCAGACAGTGTTGCTCCTTCGGGTCATCGCTGCCTTCTGCTTCCTGGGCATCCTGTGTAGTCTCTCTGCATTCCTTCTTGACGTCTTTGGGCCCAAACACCCAGCCCTGAAGATTACCCGTCGCTATGCCTTTGCCCACATCCTCACAGGTAAGACAGCCGGCTGGAGGGGGACGGCCGGAGGTGAGGCAGGTGGGGACAAAAGGATTCCTTTGCTCAGGAACAGAAACCTGTCCACATGTTCATCCCCTTCCTAGATAGTACAGGTGTGATGGCAGCTTGCTGGTGTCGCTTGCCAGGACTCAACGCCACTTGCACAGCAGCAGGGAAGGGGATTTTGTTAGAATCACCCGAGAAGTCTTGGGTCTCTAAGCACTGGGCTTGAAGCTCCTCTGACTGGACTCTTGGGTCCTGGAACTGGGTGTGTGTATCCCCGACCCCCCCCCCCCCAGCACACCATCTCATCAGATTCTCCTCCACTCCCCTCAGCCCTGCTGTGGACCAGCTTTCTCCACTTGTGCATGATCCCCCCTCTCTCTCTCAGGATGGGGCTGGAGTGTCATTTTGGCCCCTGGTGGTGCCAATTCCAGGGCTCAGGTCGCATGACCTTGTCTGTTTCTTTCAGCCACCCGCCAGCTTCACGCAGCCCTAGTATTCCAGTGACCACGTCTATAAACTGGAGAAGCCAACTGGCCTCGGGGTGCAGAGTATCAGTGTCTGTCCCAATCCGGGGCCCCAGCATCCCAGAATCCCGTGACTGAGTGATGCCTTTGAGATGGCGACTTGGGTAGTCAGCTGCTATGGGTTCAGGCAGCCTGCTCACCCCTTTTCCCACTGTCCCCTGTGTCTCCAGTCCTGCAGTGTGCCACTGTTATCGGCTTCTCTTACTGGGCTTCTGAACTCATCCTGGCCCTGCAGCAGCAACATAAGAAGTACCACGGATCCCAGGTGTACGTCACCTTCGCCGTTAGCTTCTACCTGGTGGCAGGAGCTGGTGGCGCGTCCATCCTGGCCACGGCGGCCAACCTCTTGCGCCACTACCCCACGGAGGAGGAGGAGCAGGCGCTGGAGCTGCTCTCGGAGATGGAGGAGAACGAGCCCTACCCTGCAGAGTATGAGGTCATCAACCAGTTTCAGCCGCCCCCGGCCTACACGCCCTAAAGCCACCACCAGAGGGTGCCTGCTTCCTCAGCACCCCCCTCCACCCACTTCCAGAGGCACTCCTGCCCCGGCAGGCCTCACCAGTAGGACCCTGACTCTCGTCACCAGACCTGTCCCAGGACAGACTTTGCCGTGAGACTCGTGTGCACTAGTGACAGCACGCAGCTCTGGAGATTCAGCAGTTTTATATAATGCAGTCACCCTCTTGCCACCTTCTCTCCTTCATAGTCACTAAGTCATTACCAACCAGGGGTGATCACACAGTGTTCTGTCGTCACGGGCCGTATCTTTGAGACCAGGCCCTTCCTTGGGGAGCTGCTAACCGTGAACAGCCCCAGGCAGCAGGGACTGTGCCTGGCATGTTCCTGTCCTTGAGGGTCAAGGTTCCATCCCTAGCTGTAGCTCGGGGCTTACCCCTGCAGCCTCCCCCACCCCCGACCCTATCCCTTTTCAGGGGACCACCCACTCTGTGGACTTCTCTGCACTTTAGTCTCTGGACGTCCCCACCACGTGTGTTCTGGTTTTATGGGGAGAAGGATTTGCTTTTGGGGAGCAGAACCGTTGGGTGGCTGGAGTCCTGGCAAGGAGAGGACTGAGCCTGGCCTGAAGCCTCCTGGTCCCCATAAAGGACCAGAGTGATGGGGCTCTAACTCCCTGGCCCCTTCACCTTTTAAAAACGAGAGTGGTTTTCAAAGGAAAAAAACCAACCCAGCAACAGCAACAAATACTCTCTTTTTAAACTAGGGACAGGACTGTTGTCGTTTCTCAGATGTTTCTCCCATTCCTTTTGGCTCGGCATCGTTTGTGGCCATCGCTCCTTCCAGCCCATACGTGTTCTTCCCAGAACTTCTCCCAGCAGAATGCAGCCCTCCTCCCTAACCCCCCACTCCCACCCCCGTGCCCTGGCTCCCAGAGGCCTTCCTGTGGACCCAGAGCCCCGTCCCCAGAGGGGCTGAGGACTGTGGCCTGGCTGGCTGGCCAGCATGGTGCTCCTCAGGACTGTGGCACCGACAGGACCTGGCCTTCCCGCAGGAACACGGGCAGACCCCACTCTCCACATCGAAACCACAGCCGGCAGGGCCCCTTCACCTGGGCGTCAGAGCCACCTAGTCACATTCGTGTTCCTGGCTGTGTCCTTCAGGCTCAGGGTAGCCCTGAGACTGTGATGTGGCATAACAGCTTACTGCATGCCTCTCCCCCCCCCTTCTTGAATGTTCTCTGACCTTGCAGTGTGCTGCTCGCTCTTTCTTGCCCAGCCATCACCCTGGCTGTCCTGTGGGCCACATGTGGCTCTGGGTCAGGCTGACTTCCCGCCCTGGAGATCTGGGTCATAACACAAGAGAAACCTGAGAATGAAGTATGGACCCAGATGGCCACACTGCTTTGGGATCAGTGTCCAGTGCTGAGTGCAAGAGCCATTGACTCCCCAAGGCCGCAGAGACAGCAAAAAAAAGCAGGTGACTGGACAACAACCACGCCTGCCAAGGATAGGGAATGTCATGCTCTTCATCTTCTTCAGCCAGGCTGCCTGGGTCTGCCGGACAGACGCTTGTGCGGTGAAGACCATGTCTGCACAGGAGTGACCAGCCATCTGGAGCTCACTGTGATGCCAAAGTGTGACCTGGGCGGGGGCTCACATGCTTCCGACTCTTCTCTTAGGCAAGGACAGCTGTGTGGTACCTGAGCCAGAGCCAACGAGCTGAATTGAGTCTTGTCTTCTGTCTGTCCAAGTTCGTCTGGGCCAGCTCTCTCCGACTGTGGGTGTCCAAGAGGGTGACCAGCACTGAACACGTATCAGAGTGACCCGTCATCTCCTGAGGCCCTGGCATGGCCCTGTGAACCTCTCGGAACCCACTTTTTATTAGCTTCCCCATGCCTCTGCCCTTCCTTTCTCTTTCCCTGCCATCCTAACACTAAGACTTTGTCATATAAATCCCCTGGTTGTGTTTTTTTTTTTTCTAGGAAAAAAATTTTAAAAAGCAGAACAAAACAAAAAGACCACAAATAAGAATGTAAATGCCACTGGCTTCCTGTCATTTTTGGGTCACAGTTTCCCTCATTTAGTATATCCACTTACTCTTAGAGAGGAAGAAGAAATTAATTTTTTGTTTGTTTTATGTTTTGTTTTTGGGTCACACCTGGCGGTGCTCAGGGGACCATCTGGAGTACTAAGGATTGAACCCAGGTTTGCCACATGCAAGGCAAGCACCCTACCTGCTATACTATAGCTCTGGCCCAGAAATTAATTTTTTTAATTTAATTTCTTTTAAGTTTAAGGGAGTTACTTGTGTCTGTGCAGGAGGGTTGTTTCTGCTGATGCTCGGGTGACTGTGCAGTGCCAGTGATTGGCAAAGCACATGCAACACTTACAAGAGCCCCTGTTTTGTGAACACAGTGTCATGAGGGAAATGTGTTGACCTGTCTCCTGCATCCCTGTCTCTCAGGGATTTTATGTTAGTTCGTAAGTGGATCTGTGCATGAAAAGGCAGCATGAAGGACTCGGCAGTGATAGTGATAGTGGCTAAGATTCTTGCCTTGCATATGGCCGACCCAAATTTATTCCCCGGACCCCATAGAGTCCCCCAAGCCTGCCATGAGTGATCCCTGAGCTTCGCTGGGAGTGGCCCCAAAACCAAAAGGAAAAAGCAAAGAGATGGTAGAAGGAAGTAACAGGCCTACTCGACAGCTGCGGAAACGCTGTGCCAGGGGTAGCCTGAGAGATGACATCGACCGTGGAGAGTATCTGGAGGTGAGGGTGTGCCTGCTGACTGGATGACAACAGAAGCACAACCGGTGGCCAAGAAGTGACGTGAGGTTAGGTAAGGAGGCTCACTGAAGGCACAAAAAGTGCTGAGGGAGCTGTGGACGTTGAGGAGAGAGGAGAGCCCAGGTTGGCTTTAATGCCCAGCGGCCATGTGAAGGCAGGTCAGTCTGGTGCCAAAGAGGCAGAGAGTGCAGGCACGGGGGAGCCTGAGAGCTGGCAACAGCAGGAAAGGCGCAGACACAGCTGGCCCAGGACCCAAGGTCTCAGCCAAGTGTTAAGAGGAGGGAGCCCAAGGGTTCTGGCCCTGCTGGCCCATCACATGATGGCAGACCCAAGCAACCATGCCTAGAGGCACACACAGGAGGAGTTCCAGAAGGTGAAAGGTGGCAGGGAGAACCTGAGGGATCTGGGAAAGGTCTCTGGGGAGGATAGTTTCCTTAGGATGACTAGGGAACATTTGTAAGTAACGTGTCACCGTGTCACCGTGCTATCCCTCTGAAGCCCTAAAGGGAGAAACTGTCACTGTCACTGTCCTCCCATTGTTCATCGATTTGCTGGAGCAGGCCCAGTAGCGTCTCCATTGTGACAATTGTTACTGTATTTGGCATATTGAATATGTCACGGGTAGCTTGCCAGGCTTTGCCGTGCGGGCGAGATACTCGGTAACTTGCCAGGCTCTCCGAGAGGGGCGGAAGAATCGAACTCAGGCAGGCCATGTTGGCCGCTTGCAAGACAAATGCCCTACCTGCTGTGCTATCACTCCAGCCCAAAGGGAGAAATAGAGGAACAAATGGATTGATGGTCCTTGCTTTTCTAGTTTTTGTTTTTTCCTCATTTCCTGTATTTTTTTGGCAGAAATGGCACTTGAATGGGCATTGGAAGCGCAGAGAGGGGGAAACTCTCCTGGGGTCTATATGAAATAAAGGCACTTTGCTAAGGATTCAGAATTAAGACACAACGTGTGGAGGGTGAAGCAGTCCTCAGGTGAGACATCACTGGTCTCTGGGAAGGGAAGGATTTGTGTGGGGAAACGGTGGAGTCTGTGGCGAGGGACTTCCTAATAGGGTTCAAGGATATAAGCCCGTCAGTCCACCACTTATCTACTTAGCACCTAGCACCATAAGAGACCCTTTCCTCTTGGGAAGGCCTAACAAGACCCACTAGCCGCCTCTGGCTTTACCTTTCACCCAGATTTCTAGTATGGCCATTTTAGGTGGGGAATTTTCTTCTGAAATAGCCTTGCAGTGGTGGGTGGGTTTTGCTGTAATAAGAAGGGGAGGTGTCCTTACTCCTTTCCCGTCATTGCCTCCCTGCACTCTAGGAGAGGGGAGAGAATGTGCACGTGTGCATGGTTGCAAATGGGAGCCCTCACTTCTACTGTGCAGAAAGGCATTCTGTGTCTCTTGATTTTTACGTTGTTCTTTTTTTGGTGCGGTGGGGGGCCACACCTAGTGATGTTCAGGGCTTAATTACTCCTGATGGTGCTTCAGGGACCATATGGGATTGAGCCTGGGTTAGCTGTGAACAAGGCAAACACTACCCACTGTACTGTGTTCGTTAGGGCCAAGAGGTTTTCATTTGTTTTTCACCAACATTCACTCACTAAATATATTGGATGCAATGTGCTCTATGAAGGATGTAGTCATGAACACATATTAATATCCTCAGGAGCTACCTGTCTAGTCCATCTGTTGAGGGTAAAGGAACTCTGATTACTGAGGCTTCATGAAAGACAAGAGGCCTGACTTGGGCTTTCATGAGACCACGATGTAATGTGAATGAAAGGGACAGGCTTTGGGAAACACTGAGTTTGTATTCTGAGTGGGTGTGATCCCCAGTGGAAAAAATTCGGTAAATGGGCTCAGCCTACAAGGACCCAGAATGCCAAAGTTCTGGCTAGAATACTTGGAGCTGCAAGACACAAATGTGTGCCATCAGTGGAATTTATTGTTTCCCAGAACTGAAAGGGGGTCTTGACTAGATCCCCAGAGATTAAAATATGATGACATGAAGACAGTCTTCTTCGCTTCTCTGCTTTATGGGCTCAAAAATCTCTCAAAGGTAGTGAAAATAGTTACCAAATACCAGGTTCACACCAAACTTCCCTTTTTGTTTGGAAGGGAGGAATACCCAGCTGTGCTCAGGAATTACTCCTGGCTCTGCTCAGGAATCCCTTTCGGCAGGAATTGGGGGACCATATGGGGTCCTGAGACCCCAGGTTGGCTGAATTCTAAACAAGTGCCCTACTTGCAACATTATCTCTCTAATCCCTAAACTTTCCTTTTTTTGTAGGTGGAGGTTTGGAGACCAGATCTGGCAGTGCTCAGGCATTACTCCTGGCTCTGTGCACAGAATTACTCACAGTGGTGCTCAGGAGATCATTTGTTGATGTTCAGGATAGAACCTGGGTCAGTTGTGTAAAAGGTGACTTACTCTGTAATCTCTCCAGTTCCTTTCTTACATACTTAAGAAAGATGTTGAGGGGGACTGGAGAGATAGTATAGTGGGTAAGGTGCTTGCCTTGCACACTACTGACCCAGGTTCAATCCCCAGCAAGCCCAGGTCCCCGAGAAAACCCTGAGCACTACTGGTTCCAAAATTTAAAACAAAACAAAAAAACACCAGGATGTTAAGGATTAGAGTGAAAGTTCAGTAAATTGAGGACATGCTTGGCATTCAAGAGGCCTCGGCTTAGTCCTTGAAACTGCCAGGAGCAACCTCTAAGGATCACTGGATGTGTTCCAAATAAAAAAATAAATAAATAAAACAAAAAACAGAAATTGGAGCTGGCCTGATTCTTTCTAAGTAGCTGAAAGATTGGAAGAAAAGTCAACAGCTCTTGGGAAAAGAATCAAATAGTAATCTGAAATGCATGAGAAGGTAATGTAGTTTCCTTCTAGCTATGTAATCTCTAAACAATTTAAGGCCAGAATACTAGTACAGGGGACAGGGAGCTTGCCTTGCACCCAGCCAAGCCAGTTTGATCCCTAGCATTCCAAATGGTCCCTCCGCCCCCTGCCCCGAAGAGATCCTGAGCGCATAGGCAGGAGTAGGCTCTGAGCACCACTGGTGTGACAAAAAAAAAAAAATTTTTAAGTAAGAGTTGGGAATCCTACTTTAGGACTTTAGATTCCTTCTATAAGTAAGGAGATTCCCTGCCTTACTTTCCCCTCCCTTACCTTTCCTTAAATAAAGTCTTTACTCAATTCTGCCATTTGCTCAAAAACGAAAGAGTACTTTTGAGCCGGAAGCTAGCTCAACAGGCTGTACCATGTTTTGCATATGGGAGGTCTAAGTCCTATCCCTGGCACTGCATGGTCCTCAAGCATAGTCAGGAGCATCCCCCACTGAGCACGGAGTAGTTCCTGAGCTACTCAGGATGGAGCCCCCAAACCAAAAATAAGCAAATAAGTAAATTCATTCCTTGGGCCAGGACTGTAGTTTGATGGAAGAGCCCTGATTTGCATGTGTGAAGCCCTTTGGTTCAGTTCTTAGCATGGCAAAGATATTAAAGCCTTGCCTTGTACTGGGCTGTCCTGGGTTCGATACGCAGCATCACATATGATCCCCTGAGCATTTTCAGGAGTGATTCCTGAGAGTAGAGCCAGAAGTAAGTTCTGAACACTGCTGGTGTGATCCAAAAAACAAAAAAGACAATCCAGGGCTGGAGAGCTAGATAGATAGTACAGTGGGTAGGGTGCTCACTGGGTATCCCATATGGTCCCCAGCATCCCCAGGTCTGTCCCCCTCCTAAAGACAGCTTTAAAGTGGACAAAGAATTCTAAAAGATTTCTCCAAAATTTCTCCCATATACATATGTGGTGTGTGTGTATGTGTGTGTGTGTGTGTGTGTGTGTGTGTGTGTATAGATATGCAGGGCAAGTACCATACCCACTGTACTATTGCTCATATAGAGCAATTCTTACAGACCAGGATATTAAGGTGGTATAGATTGTCTATGGTGGGGAGGGTGTTTTGTTTTGAGGTCACATTCAGCTGTGCTTAGGAGTAAGTCCTGGCTCTGTGCTCAGAGGTCATTCCTGGTGGTACTCTAAGGAACATAAGGGATACCAGGGATTGAACTCGGGTCAGCCATGTGCATGACAAGTGCTTTACCTGCTGTATTTTTGTACCTCGCCAGCCTGAAACCTCTTTTCTGATCTTTTTTAAAAAATATTTGGGCCACACCCGGCGGTGCCCTTCCACCAAACTACAGTCCTGGCCCAAGGAATGAATTAACTTTTTTGGATCACACCCGGCGGTGCCCTTCCACCAAACTACAGTCCTGGCCCAAGGAATGAATTAACTTTTTTGGATCACACCCGGCGGTGCCCTTCCACCAAACTACAGTCCTGGCCCAAGGAATGAATTAACTTTTTTGGATCACACCAACAGTGTTCAGAGCTTACTCCTGACTGCACTCAGGGATCACTCCTGACAGGCTCGGGGAACCATGCAGGGTGCTGGGGATCAAACCCAGGTCAGTCGCATGCAAGGCAAGCACCCTACCCACTGCACTATTGCTCCAACCCCATCTTTTACACAACTGATCCAGGGTCTATCCTGGGCATCACAAATGATCTCCCGAGGTTATATTAGTGTATTTTTAGCCGCAAATGACTTTTAAAAAATCTAAAATCATTCATGCCAAGAACTTTCTTGACAAAATAACAAACTCAAAGAATAGAGTGAATTCAGGAGCTCTAGATTAGCAATTTCTTAACTGTAGGTCATGTGGGTCCCTGAGGACTGCCGGGGTGTTCCAACAAGGCTGCAGGTGAAAAATCCCATAATGAGAAACTAGCCTAAGGCTAGGGAGCCACCCAGTAGGATGAAGGGGAGCACTGGAAGGAAACAGGGTCAGAAGGGGCTCGGGTAGGAAAACACCAGGCTGCTACTGAGAAACGCTGCTCTTTGTCCCCCAGCTCCATTACAGATTCTGGCTCCATTTCTCAGCCAAGTGTTTCCCTGTGGTGGTTAGGGGACTGTTAAGCTTCAGGCTTCTTCCAGAGCACAAATAAAAAATATTTTGTTGAATTGTCTCTGGCAGTTTACAAACGACCCAGGGTTCACTCTGATTAGAGCGAATTGAACTGATCTTGTTCTGAAATGAGTCCGGCGACCAGGAAGATTCAAAGCTCTAATTGGCCAGGCTGGGTTATCTGCCCTGATGCTGGGACTAGAATCACATGGACGAAAGGGAAGAGAGATGGTTCCAGGAAAAGGAAAATCAAAGTATTGTTAGCAAAAAGAGAAAAAAAAAAGTGGGAACGGATATTGGAGAGCTGAAACGCAAATGTCTCCTGGCAGTGTAGAGGACAGTGGGAATGTAAAGCTGAGCTCTCAGCTGCCCTGCAGTCCGGCTTGTCTCTCTGGTGCTTTTGACTGAGCCATTTTTTCCCCCAACCCCATTAACACACTCATCACTGGGCACTGTCACTGCTTCCTGGTCCTTCGAAAGTTACTCCCTTCATTCTTCTTTGTCTATCTAGTTGACTCTTCTCTTAGATACCAGCTAGTAAAGAAATAAGGCTGTTGCCTACATAATGAATGTGAACACATTCCACAAATGTAGAGATATACCCCCCCAAATGCCATGCAAACTAAAATAAAAGAGAACAGCCAGAGGCAGGAAAGGTATTTGATCAGCTCGGTGAGGGCCCTGAGAAAGAAAGAGCTAGAAGCCATAGGCCAAGGGAGCCCCCTTTATTACTGATAGAGTCTCGGTGAAGGATAGTGTTTGATCTGCTAAGTGGACTGCTGATACGAATCCCTTAATGAGGTTCGCTAGCCAACCTGGTCAGACAGCACTAGCTCAAAGTCTCCAGTCACTTGGTCCCTGTCAGGTAGCGCCTACAGCAAGAGCAGTAGATCTGCACCCTGCAGGCAACTGACTCCAGAGATGAAGGGGGGGCATACAGCGGGTAGGGCACTTGGCTTGCATGCAGCCATCTGGGCTCAATCCTCAACAACCATATGGTCCTCCCAGCCCTGCCAAGATAGATTCCTGAGTACCACATGATGTTTCCCCCTCCCCTTCCTATTATAGTAGTCCTCTCTTACTTTCCCTGAGACAAAGTAAATAAACAGCTGTGAGCCCCTAGTAGGGCTCCCTGGAAAGGGAAAGGTAAGGATTCTAAAGGCTTGTGGAGGAAGTAACCTGTCAGATGGGTATGTCTAGGTCCTCAGCAGAAGGAACCAAAGAGCAACACTTTAGATGCATCTTCCTGGGGCCAGAAAGTATAGCAGGTAGGGAGCTTGTCTTGAGTGAAGCTCACCTGGGTTCAATATCCAATCCCACATATGGTCCCCAAGCTTTACCAAAACTGGCTCCCAAGCACCAAACCTGCACAGAGGAAGTCCTGAGCACAGCTGGGTGGTCCAAACCACCCACCACCCTCTCCCTAGAAACTGATACAGGTATTGTAGAGAGGGAATGATGCAGCTTCTTTTCATCTCCCTGCCAGTGTGGTCCATCCCCATGCCTTGAGGCAGTCCATCAACTGCCTCAATTACCTTCTGACCTGGGGTGCTGTAGTGAGTCTTTAGACTTTGGGATTTGGGTTTGGATTTGCTCAAACACAGTTGTGCATCTCTTACTGACATACTCCAAATTGCAGCTCAGTTGGTTCTTTTGCACCTGCTACATTGCAACAAGATCTATTTTGAGTAAGCCTCTGCTGTCGGCTGTCTCCCTTTGTGAACTGGGTGAAGCTGAAGAGATAATATTCCCCTAAACTGAGGCAGAAAATCACTGCCCCCAGGGGAGGTAGCAGTAGGAGGTGATGTGAGTGTACCCCACAGGTGGCTCACTTGAGTCATGAGGAGAGAAAGATGGTCACCTTCTCCTACTCTGCATCTGCTACCCGGGTGCCGCTGGGAAGACTATGACTGGTAAAGTCTGCAATGAGCCCCTGCTTGGCATGGGCCTGAGCCCTGCCAGCCCCACCAGGTGGCCACACCTGAAATCCACTTGGTCAGCCAGGCAGAAGAGTTGATCCCCACCACCTGATTTCTCAGGGAGCCACGAACTCAGGCTGGGGCGAGGATTTGCTCTTTACAGGAAAGGAGAAGCCAGTCCCAGGCCTTACCCAGGGTTTTTGGGGTTCTTGTCTTACTTGCAGAAAAGAATTTCAGGAGTAGACAAGCAGTGAAGTAAAATGGATTTTTTATTTAGAGGGTTTTAAGATGTGGAGAGAGAGAGGGTGAAAGAGAGAGAGAGTCACGCTCAAGAGAGAACACGGGCTTCTCCAAGGGTGGAGAGAGCCCCTACACACATCCTAGCAGTAGACATGAAAGCATGAAAGTACACATCTCAAGAGGGGAAGATGCGGGAGACATATGTGCTCAGGCGCCACATGTGCTTGGCCACATAGGCACAAGAAGCACATGGGCTCGGGCAGTATATCTGTACACTTCCTTTGTTGAAGGTGGCTTTTATGGGGTTTCTCCAACCTGCCCCCATGTGGGGCTTCTTCTTAGGTAAAAGTCCGTTGCTAAGGAGGTTACCAGGGAGGTTGGGAGTGGTGATGGTCCTTTTCTGAATCACTAAAGTTAGGGTATTCGAGGAATTTCCTTCATGGAGAGGGTTCCAATCTCC